AGAGATCTAGTGTTTGCTGATAAAGTACGGAAGTATCTTCGCAGTAAAAAGAAGGTGATTGTCAAAGAGTTGAACCTAGATTCACGCGCTTATGAAGTTGGTTCCAGAAGGATCTAAACAGACTGTTTGCTGATGCAGCCAAGGAAAGTGGAACTGATGGAGCTTTAGCTGGCGTCTGGGCTGAAGTTACTGCGTTGATGGATCAGAAGGTCTTTCTTGTCCTTTTTCTAGAACTTTGGTAGTAAGAATTTTTATTTTTATCTCATTATAAGATGTTTCAGATACCAGCCGATCGTGATGATCCTACCACCGTCAACCTGCTTATAGAGAAGGCTTGTCTCTATTTACAACATCTGTAAGTCGTAAGTGTCCTCGGTCGTTGTTTTGTAATCCAATTGTGTCGTTAAGATTTATTGAACATATGGATGCACAAGTGGAAAGAAATCTTGAACGAGCACAGCGGGGAGGCGTGCCCGGAATCCGTGGGCTAGTTGAAGCCTATTTGAAGGTAAGTTTTGCGTTTCTTCTCGAACCTCACATTCTCAAATGTGTTTTCAGATCGGCGCAGATGATCCGTTTGCAGAAGATGGAACAGTTGAAGGGTTACCTGTCTGGGAGGTATATTCTATTAACAGCGGTAGCGTTTTTGGTAATCCTTTTTATTTGAAGGTAACCTACCACTGTCTGCGCGCTGGCGACTTGGCTGCAGCGAAGGATGCTCTGGAGTTGTTGGCTAACTTCCCTCAGTCGGCAGTCCTCGTATCTTGTCTTAACCACCTCAATAAGGAGGCCAAGTAAGTTTTTGATAAAGGTGAATTGAGTACTCCTATAACAAGCTATTAGGCTGGATGTGGAGCTAAAGAAGAAGTTGAAAGTAGAATGGAGACACAATCTAAACTCCGCGAAGGACAAATATAAACGAGGCTTGTATGCTGCGTTATTAGGCTTAGGTACACAACTTTTCGCTTTGTCTCTGTATGATCGGTCATGATTTGAGTTTTGCAGATTCTACTTTGTCGGATTCGCTTGAGAACTGGCTGTGGTTCAAGCTGTTTGCCCTGAAAGTAGACCCTCATATGTCTCCCATCCTCTACGCAGAAGTGCAGAAAAATGTTTCTATAGACTATGGTACGTTTCATATTGAAGGGTTATGGTTTAGAAAGAAAACTTTATTTTTAGGGGAGTCATATTTTATGTCTGGCGGAAAGGCGGAGTTTCATTACTATTTCACCGCTTTGTGGCTTTCTGGCCAGTTTGAACGGGCTATCAAAGTAAGCGTTTCCCCCACGAATTTAGTGGACTTAGCTTAACTGGGTAATTTAGCTTCTCTTTGATTGCAATCATGTGTCGGACGCGGTTCATGTTGCTATTCTGGCTTACGAACTGGGATATCTGCGAAACACCGCCAATGCAGCTGCTGACACTTGTTAGTTATAGTGATTTCTGCTTCAGAATTTAATTATTGACGCATTTTTTCATTTCAGTGGTAGTGGATTCTGCGCAGATGACGAAATGCTACTGTAATATTGCGCGTCTACTTGTCTCTTATACTAAGGAATTTGAATTGGATGATGTTGCTAGAGCTTTGGATTATTGGTCGCTATTGAAGGTGGGTCATCTCATGCGCAACCGAAATTACTAAAACTGTATTTCGCTGATTCAGGGTTTGCAAACGCCTTCCGGCAGTGATGTTTTTGAGATGGCGGTAAGTAGAGCCATTTACCTAACCGGGAAGGCTGATGAGATTATCGGAGCACTCGGTCCAGATGGCAAACGTTCCCCTGCTCTGATTGATGAGTAAGTAAATTTTCACATAGTGTATATGTGGCTAAAAATGTGTTGTGTTTAGATACCTGGAAGACCCCTCGGATATCATCTGTCGTGTCGCGCATGACACCGAGCTTGGAGGAGACACTACGCAGGCTGTTAGGCTCTACATCCTTGCAAACACTCCTCTGAAAGCCATAGAACTATTGTGCTCTGAACTCAGCGATGCCATAAGGTAGGCATCGTGTACATACTTATATCAACCGAGCCATCCGACTTTACCTGCTTTCATGGTATAATATAATGAATTTGATTCAGAGTGAATCGGACTAGAATGGCAGAGCTTCGTCGCTTAGCAGAAGATTTTGTATCAGGTAATTTTTTATTTCAGTGTAATGGTAAATAACCTGCAGAAAATGTGTTGTCTCAAGCACTGAGTTTCCACGAAGAATCACACGTATTCCATTTGTTTCCAATACATCCACGAACTTCTGATCTCATTTTCAAAAGATCAGCGCTTTTGCGACTTCATTGTACTTTACATTTACAGCTCAAAGCAATCTCCAAGCAAGCGTTTTGTCAACGCTTTGCATACTGCTAGACGTCGGTACCCTGATTGATCTGTGCGAAGCTAATCAACCGGATAAGGCGTTGAGGTGAACTTTTTCCTTCAAATATGGAGCTTTTAAATATACTTTAAGATTCCAGTGTATCGCAGCAATTACGGCTGATACCTTTTGATATGGACCAGGTACCAGTAATAGTTGGAGAGTTTCACTTAGTCCCCCAGAAGGTCAGACTTTATCAACACAATTGCATACTTGATTAAATTCGAGCTTCTAAGGTTCGAGAAGTTATCCCGGATCTATGCCTGCATCTGATGCGTTGCATGGTAGATGCAATCCACTCGTCAA